TTTAAAAGATCTAAAACACTATAAAACGATTATCGTTGAATTATTGATACAAAATATTTTATTTTAAAAAAAATTGTGTAAGTAGTGTTTTTAATAAAAAAAAATTAAACTTTTAAACAAATTTAAATATATATGTCACGAGTCAACGATGCAAGTTCCGGTCTTAAGCGGTTTCCCATACCCAATAAACAAAATTGTGTACTCAACAGTATAAATAATAAATATAAAGGTCCCATGTTGACTTTTGAATTTTAAGAATTTAAAATATCTTATTTAAGTAGGTGAAGTATATAGAAACTCTAATGCGGTAAAAAAGGGATTATAAACTTTTTACTACATAGTATTGAGAGAATCAGTCGAAATATATATACTCATTATTATAAAATTTCACATAAACAAATTTTTTTAATATGAATCGTTTTTTAGACCGCGATAATTAGGTGATAATTTGGTGGGTTAGGCCACACAACGGTAATTTTTTCATACGAAAATTAACTAAATTCATCATAATATATATATATATATATATAAACATTTGCATAAGCCAATGTTATAGAAAATCACTATTCATATTCATCAATTAATCATTACAGCAAAATTGATTATTCATGAAGACCATTTGTTCGGAGAATTAATTGAACTTTGTGTGATTTTATTCGGAAATCTTTAAATCGTGAAATAAAGAAAGAAAAGCTTTTTGAAGGACACGTTTTTATCAACACAATTCTTAAATTCTCCTTTCTTTCATTTTTAATCCCGATTTTATTTTCTGTAAATAATCACATTTTTTTTTTTGCAAATTCCACCGATATTTCAATTATTTTTTGCCATTTCCCCTCAAGTTAACCGGCACAATTTCAACTTTTTAATATAATAAAAATATTTGAAAGATTAAATTACACGTAAAAGTAAATTATTAAAAAAAATACAATTATCAATTTAATATATTTTCACTATTTCTTTTAATTTTATTATATTTGTGTTTATCTCGGTTTTTCTGTCAAATGAAATAGACAAGTTTTAACGTAACGTAACTTGCTAGTTGGATTTGGTAGAGGTAATTTGCCGTTTAGAGGCAAGACAATAATTTCGCTATATAAGAACTTATCGTTTTCTTTATATATATATGTATGTATTCCAAATTTTTCGAATTTTTTCTTTAACAATTTTTTTTTTAGAGAAATGCAAATAAAAAATGATTGACCATAGGAGAAGGGTTATAAAGAAGACAACAGTGTGGCAAATATACAATTTGTATTGTGAATCCACTCTTAAAAGAATTTATAAGCACATAATATATTTTGTTGTTTCTAGAATCCTATTTGTTAATTAAAAAATTAGCGATTATAATATAAACACAAAATATATAGAAATGAAAGTACAACAAACAATGAGGGATAAATTTATAATAGACAATGTTTTTTGAATTCGAGTCAAAATCTAATAATCTGAAAAACTATCAATATTAGGGGGTGACCAATTCGGATTTCGGTTTGAACTCGATTCGGTTATATTCGAATTCAGTTATTTCAGTTATAAAAAAATTATAACTATCAGTTTAATTCGAATTTGATTTTTTTATTGTAAAAAACACTTTTTTTAATAATTGTTTGTTTTTAATTAGTTTTTAATCGGTTCAATTGGTTCCATTTTAGTTTTTTAAAGTTTGAAAAATCACTGTTTTTTTATATTAAATTCGATCTGATTATGATTATATCTGGTTCGATTTAACCCTAGTCAATACCCAATTGTAAAATCCATTATTCTAAAAAAAAGAGGGTTCTTCAACTAATAATTGATGGTCCAGTGACTGGGAGGTGACAAAGTCATCTTCAAGGTTCTGGGTTCAATTCCACTGGTGGGGAGGGATATAATTTCTAGACTAAAATAGTCTATATACAAAGACGGGTCCCGTGCCTAGAATAGATGTAGTCAGATCGAAGGTCCAAGTAACCATCCTGGTTATCAAAAAAATATTTTTTTTGTTGGGCTCGCAATTAGAGGAACAAAGTAAAGCCTTTTCGGAGTGTTGGGTACCACGCACGTCCTATGCCGTACAAGAGTATCAAACCTGCTTCTCACCGGCTACCGGTTCAGTCGGTTGGACTTCTTGAACTGACAAGTTCCCGTCATTATTATCGTGATCAATAATACTCCATATAGATTCACTTTAAGTTAATTTTTTTTTGTCTGTTTCAACGTATACAAAAACACCAACACTATTTTCTTTACTTATAATCTAACATAATTTTAATTTATGATAAAGTCGACATCTTTATCTCACTAATTTATAAAATTCATAAATACCATATGAATGGTGGATATATATATATGGTCGATTTGCATCTTACCATGTGATAATGAATTGCTAGATTCCTATCCTTTTTTGTATTATTTTTTTGCCACTAATTTAATAATTATTTATTTATAACATTTTTCAAATATATTTTCCCTTCAAATGTTTATACCATTCCATATATTCTAGAAAAAAAATATCTGCTGCTGGACAGATTTATATTAATAATCATAATATTAAAACTCTATCCACTAAAACCATTAACTGAATTTTTAAAAATAATGATGTAATCGTTTCATATTGGACCAATTCATTTCGATCCAATTTATTTTCATCTCAACTTGTTAAATCCGTTTTTATTCGGAACAAGAAATTCATGTATCGACCCAAACGACTCGCGACCCAAATAAAAATAAAAAATATTAAATATAATTAAAAAAATATTAAAATAAAAATTAAAAATAAAAATTATTATGTTATAAAAAGAATAAAATATTTAAAATCGATAAATCTTTCTTAAAATTATTAAAAAATAATAAAAAAGTAAAAAATAAATTTGACTTGCAAACCACCTCGTGAGCTTGTTGAGTTGGTTCGTAATGAGTTCGGTTCGTTCATCCAATTTTTTTTTAACTTAAATTTTTTAACCCATAACGAAAAAATATGAACTGTCTCGCAGCGGGTAACTCGTTTTACCATCACTATTTTAAAGTAAAAATATTTATTTGAAAAATAAAGGAGAAATAAAATTATAAACTAAATTTTTAGTTTATTAATTATGCGCTCAACTAAATCTGTCTTAATTTTATTTTGGTAAATTTGATTGTATTATATAATTTCAGAGTTGTTGGCTTACAACTCTAATACATACACCTAATATGAAAACAGAGAATAAGTCAACAAAATCATTCAATTAAGAAAAAGGGAAAAACAAGCAATTTTTTAAAAAATTAATTAATTTGATTAATAAAATGTAAAAGATTCCATTTGCAAAATGAAAAAAAAAAAGCACTCTTTTATTCCTAACCCTAGTCAATACCCAATTGTAAAATCCATTATTCTAAAAAAAAGAGGGTTCTTCAACTAATAATTGATGGTCCAGTGACTGGGAGGTGACAAAGTCATCTTCAAGGTTCTGGGTTCAATTCCACTGGTGGGGAGGGATATAATTTCTAGACTAAAATAGTCTATATACAAAGACGGGTCCCGTGCCTAGAATAGATGTAGTCAGATCGAAGGTCCAAGTAACCATCCTGGTTATCAAAAAAATATTTTTTTTGTTGGGCTCGCAATTAGAGGAACAAAGTAAAGCCTTTTCGGAGTGTTGGGTACCACGCACGTCCTATGCCGTACAAGAGTATCAAACCTGCTTCTCACCGGCTACCGGTTCAGTCGGTTGGACTTCTTGAACTGACAAGTTCCCGTCATTATTATCGTGATCAATAATACTCCATATAGATTCACTTTAAGTTAATTTTTTTTTGTCTGTTTCAACGTATACAAAAACACCAACACTATTTTCTTTACTTATAATCTAACATAATTTTAATTTATGATAAAGTCGACATCTTTATCTCACTAATTTATAAAATTCATAAATACCATATGAATGGTGGATATATATATATGGTCGATTTGCATCTTACCATGTGATAATGAATTGCTAGATTCCTATCCTTTTTTGTATTATTTTTTTGCCACTAATTTAATAATTATTTATTTATAACATTTTTCAAATATATTTTCCCTTCAAATGTTTATACCATTCCATATATTCTAGAAAAAAAATATCTGCTGCTGGACAGATTTATATTAATAATCATAATATTAAAACTCTATCCACTAAAACCATTAACTGAATTTTTAAAAATAATGATGTAATCGTTTCATATTGGACCAATTCATTTCGATCCAATTTATTTTCATCTCAACTTGTTAAATCCGTTTTTATTCGGAACAAGAAATTCATGTATCGACCCAAACGACTCGCGACCCAAATAAAAATAAAAAATATTAAATATAATTAAAAAAATATTAAAATAAAAATTAAAAATAAAAATTATTATGTTATAAAAAGAATAAAATATTTAAAATCGATAAATCTTTCTTAAAATTATTAAAAAATAATAAAAAAGTAAAAAATAAATTTGACTTGCAAACCACCTCGTGAGCTTGTTGAGTTGGTTCGTAATGAGTTCGGTTCGTTCATCCAATTTTTTTTTAACTTAAATTTTTTAACCCATAACGAAAAAATATGAACTGTCTCGCAGCGGGTAACTCGTTTTACCATCACTATTTTAAAGTAAAAATATTTATTTGAAAAATAAAGGAGAAATAAAATTATAAACTAAATTTTTAGTTTATTAATTATGCGCTCAACTAAATCTGTCTTAATTTTATTTTGGTAAATTTGATTGTATTATATAATTTCAGAGTTGTTGGCTTACAACTCTAATACATACACCTAATATGAAAACAGAGAATAAGTCAACAAAATCATTCAATTAAGAAAAAGGGAAAAACAAGCAATTTTTTAAAAAATTAATTAATTTGATTAATAAAATGTAAAAGATTCCATTTGCAAAATGAAAAAAAAAAAGCACTCTTTTATTCCTAAGATATTTGCAATAATAAAGTCTCCATAGTCTTCACGTCACCTCCCCACGCCCCCTCTCTGTACTATAAGTACTCGAGCACACCCTTCTTCTCCGAAACACCACCGAGACAAGAAACACAGAAATCAAACCCAGAAAAAAAGTGTTTTTTTTTGTGTTGTTCCTCCTAGAAGGATCGGTCTTCCTGTTCTTCGACACCATGAGTCTTCTATCTGATCTCATTAACCTCAATCTCTCGGACTCCACTGAGAAAATCATCGCTGAGTACATATGGTTCGATTCCTTCTCCTGTTGTCTGATTCTCCGTACGTTTGTGTGTTTGTGTATATATGTACATCTTGAGTTTATGTGTTGGTGTATGCACTTTAGTCTCTCGAACTTGATGCCTGTCAATGGGTTTTGTCTTTTTTCTCGGTTTCTGGCGTGACCCATTTTTTTGCGGTTTGAGATTTTTCGTTGCCATTCCTCTTTTTCCTGTTTGGTTGCCGAGAAAGTCCGAGAAAGTTGGGCCTTTCGAATCTCAGGACGTGTCTTCGGTTTTCATTGGGCATTTGTCTTGTCTGTCCCCTGATCCCTGTCCCCATGTGTTTAGATTATAGTTTCCCTGTTTGTTTGCCGAGAAAATGCATATAATCTTGAATTATAGCTAGGGTTTGAACTTAGAAAAACTGAAACTTGCGGACTTTTTAGTTCATCATTTTCTCTGATGAGTTTTGAAATTTCTGAAATTTTAGTATCCTGCAAGATAAAATCACAAACTCTGAATTTTTTTTTCAGGGAAGATCTTTACTTTCGTCCGTTGAAATTTGCTCTCCTGTTTGATTTTGTTACTTATTTGTGTTTTCTGATTTGTCCAATAGGGTTGGCGGCTCAGGAATGGACATGAGAAGCAAGGCCAGGGTAAAATTTTTCTCTCCTCCGGTGATCGATCGTTCATGAACTTGACGGAAAATAAAAAATTTCCCGGAAAATTTCACAAGCAGCAGAAAAAGCTTCAGATAACTTTTTATGTGAAATCTGATACCTTTCACGGGAAAATTGCTTGAAACTGTCTACGAGTCTGAATCTTGATCTGTTCCAATTGGATTCCAAGGTCTTGAGTTTTGTTTTTATATTTTTAATTGCAGACTCTCCCTGGACCTGTGAGTGATCCATCGCAGCTGCCGAAATGGAACTACGATGGTTCAAGCACAGGACAAGCTCCTGGCGAAGACAGTGAAGTGATCTTATAGTAAGCAGTTTCTTCTCAAGAACCTGTCTCTTTGCTTTTGTTTCCTTTCCTTTGTAACCAATCAATCCTTTACTTGTTTTTATGTTTTAGCCCTCAAGCTATTTTCAGAGACCCGTTTCGCCGGGGCAACAACATTCTTGTGAGTTCCTTGATTTTTCTCTGAGAATGTTTTCATTGGCAGTTTTTTCAGTTATTTCAAGCGTACGTTTGCTATTTCGTCAGGTCATGTGTGATACTTACACTCCTGCTGGGGAGCCGATTCCCACAAACAAGAGAAATGCCGCGGCCAAGATCTTCAGCCACCCCGATGTTGTGGCCGAGGAGACATGGTGAGGCGAAATCCTCTGTTTTTTGCATTGTTCCACGGTTTTTCTTTTAGCCGTTGACCTTAGGGGTTGACACTGGTCGGGTATCCGAGTTTTCCGGCGTACCCGACCTTGAGCTTGTGTAGTTATTGATGATGTTCTCGAAAAACCAGGTATGGTATTGAGCAGGAGTACACCTTGCTGCAGAAGGATGTGAACTGGCCTCTCGGATGGCCCATAGGCGGATTCCCAGGCCCTCAGGTGATAAATCTGTAACCTCGAATCGAATCCCAGGTTTCGTTCCTTTTCTTGTTCCTGCTCTCTTAATTCCTATAAATCTTTCTTGCAGGGACCATACTACTGTGCTGTTGGAGCCGACAAGTCTTTTGGAAGAGACATTGTGGATTCTCACTACAAGGCTTGCCTTTACGCCGGAATCAACATCAGTGGCATCAATGGCGAAGTCATGCCCGGTCAGGTAATCTCCGAAACCCCCCGAGAAAGTTCCAATCTTTTTCGAGTTTGATTCTTCCGTTATCTCCTGGAAGAGAGGTGCTTACAGCCAAATCTTTGTGTTGAGACAGTGGGAGTTCCAAGTTGGCCCTTCTGTCGGGATCTCGGCTGGTGATGAACTCTGGGTCGCTCGTTACATTTTGGAGGTAACGAAAACAAACGAAAATCGTCTACGAATCTAAAGTGTTATAATTCAGAGATCTGGTCTGAAATTTTTACTTTTCCTTGTTAAAAAAACAGAGGATTACAGAGATTGCTGGAGTGGTGCTGTCTTTCGACCCGAAACCGATACCAGGAGACTGGAATGGAGCTGGAGCTCACACCAATTACAGGTGGAGGAAGGAATCATCTCTCTCTTTCTCTGCTTTTATGAAATCTTGCACTTTCCATTCATCAATCTCATGATTCTAAAACTCGAAAACTGGATCGGTCTCAGTACAAAGTCGATGAGGGAGGAAGGAGGGTACGAGGTTATCAAGAAGGCAATCGAGAAGCTGGGACTGAGACACAAAGATCACATTGCGGCGTATGGAGAAGGAAACGAGCGGCGGCTCACCGGACGCCACGAGACAGCGGATATCAACACCTTCCTCTGGGTGAGTTTGTAGTAAGTTACCATAGAAAACAGGACTACATATACATATTTGTGTAATGAAAATGGATATCGTTTTTTTTTGTGTCCGGAAAAAAGGGTGTGGCGAATAGAGGGGCATCGATCCGGGTAGGACGTGACACCGAGAAGGCCGGGAAAGGGTACTTCGAGGACAGGAGGCCGGCGTCGAACATGGATCCGTACGTTGTTACTTCCATGATTGCAGAGACCACAATCCTCTTGAACCCATGAATTTCCTCTCCTTTGGGTCATGGGCAGAGAAAAAAATAAAACCGGAGATCTATTACATGGATGATGCTTTGATCTGGTGGTGGTTTTTTCTTCTGGTGATGTCTTGTGTATGTGTCTTTCTTGCAGTTTCTTTGCTTCTGCTTCTTCATTCTTGTTTCCCCCATTGAAAACCTGTCTTTGTACTGATTCACCGTTTTAAGACAAGGGTTTATTTCCCGATAATAAAACTGGCGTTTTATTTTTATTTTATTTTTCCGATGGATGATTCTTTGTTTAGAGGCTTTCTTCTCGTGATAGCCCGAAGTCTGATCCGAATCCACCAGAAAAATATCGAGTTTCAGATTTCTCGAAAAAATTCAGGCCTTCAGACCAGATTCAAATAAAACTTTAGACCGGTATGAAATTCAGACGGACCCGATCCGAACCCAAAAACTTTGGTGAGTACAAATTCGGATCGGGCCTGGGCAGTCCGTTTGACACCCTTAGAATCACTACCGATCTCAAGTGTCATTTGTCGCGAGTAAGAAGAATGTCATTAACCAAATCCATCACTATATTCGTATCAGATCCTTCTGTAACATTTTCTTAAATCCGAATCAATCGAACTCAAGAACAAGAACTAACATATGATAGTTTCGGTCGGATTCACCTTTCCCGGCAGATGTCCAAGAAGAAGAGCATATCGGACTTAGGAACAGAGAAAACATAACCTAGCTCTTATTCGGATAAAGAGCGAGCTGTAAAATAAAAATAAATAAAAAAATCTGAAACAGTTAACATAAATTTAAAGGGAGAAGTGGAGTTGTGCCCTCTTTAGCACGGCCGAAACCTTGGCGAAAAACTCCGGCTCCCTTTCTTCCACTTCATCAACACTACTGCCCTCGTGTTCATCCGCCTGCATTATCACCCCTCTCATGTTAATATAACTAATAACCTTTACAAAATTAACCAGTTTGATCTTGAACTAGGGGTGGCCACATGCACCTGAAATGTCACAAGTGGGGCATCAGAAATCTCGGGTTATTCGTCCACCGGCGGAACCCGAGTTTCGTACAGAGCTTTCTTGTGTAGGTACACTGCTATTTCAACCCCATTTGAAATTTTTTTTTCTTCTATTCCGAACTTAATTTCTTTCAGGTTCAAGAATGTTTTGAGATAATAAACCTCTTGCTATTGGTTCATTCGCCGGTTTTTGGTCTGGAAATTGATTAAACAAAACCCATGGAGACAGAAAGTTACCTCCTTGAACTTCAAAAGGATCAAATTCCACACTGTGGCCGGTTTCTTTGCATCCCATCTGATAATCAAAAGTTCAAGTCAGATGAAAACATGAAACCTAACACTTCTCAACTTCTCTTTTGTTTTTTGTCCAAAAATATCTAATTTGTCTTCCCGTAGTCGGGTTTCCATGGATATACAGATTAAGTCCAGAAGTACGTATAAGCCAGAGAAAAAAGTTAACCGACATACCTTACTAGCATCAGCTCGTTAATGGCACGCCACATTCCTCGGCCGACATCTTTGGCAGACTCTTCTCGAGCACTTCGTCCATGCCACAACTCTTTTACTATGTACATGACTTCCTCCGCATCCACCTGCAGAGAATGTAAAAAGTTTCCAAGTTGAATTATCTCCCACAAAAAAAAAACGGATTTATATTTCCAGCAGTCCTCACAGAAATTTTTCTTACACCTTAAGATTATATAGTCCAAGAATGTCACTTAACAACTTATTACCACATGCTTGCGTCTGGTTTAGTTTTCTAAGAAGAAAATACAAACTGTTCAGAACTCGAAGCAGTTAATGTCTCTTTCTTTCCACGAGTCCTTTTCTTTACGGGTCATAAAAGAAAAGAATACAAGAATTTTTCATCTGTCTACTGAAACAAATCTGGATACCTGAACTTCGGCAGATGTCCCATAGACGGATTCCTCATGCTCAATGAGGCGTTGATGAAGCATTCTGTAATGATCCAAATCGAGATTCACAACAGGCTCCATGTTAACTTGAACACCAGCAAGTTGCGTGATAATATAGGAAGCCATTATTTGTCCAAAAATAGCCGGGATGGTGCCAAGGACAGGAATTATGCGAACACGAAACCCAGGAACTATCTGAATTCGAGGCAAGGTATACAATCAATGAGTATGAAAAAGGTGGAGATACAGGCTTTATGTAATGTGTTAATAAAAAACTAAAATCAATTACTTGATAATCTGAAGGATTCTCTTCTTCTCCACTTGACCCTTTAAACGGAAGAAGCTTTGCTTTAGGTATCTCCAAGGAAAACATAATAGGAATGCCGCCTTCGATCCCATAATCTCTCTTCAATCGGTGTCTTACCTGAAAAATCGAAACCATATGATATATTAGGACAAGAAGTAAATATAATGCGCCCAATAAAGGAAATTTCCATAGCGAGTATGCTAGTTAAAATCATATCAATAGTCTTCATGTCATATTTACTTTCTCTGTCAGTATCTTAGTCCAAATACAGCATTTTAAGTTATACACTCTTCAGAGTCGAAATAAAAGGATAGCATTACCAAAATCCCTGTTGTTGCTAATTTGACTAGCGTCTAGTGTACTATTAGATTCATGTATCAATAAAATGTCATACTTGTAATGCTCAGTACTATCTATGAAAGCTGAAGCAGAGTCATCTCGATTTTTCATCAGTAGCATCGTATCTATCCTACAGAAACTATGGATGACCGTTGTCTCTTTCTGGAAAGTCATTGATCAGATAATTACTTGACACTTTATTTTTTCTCACAGGATCAGAAATGAAAAATCCAGAGATAAGAGAAAGCCCAAATCCCGAATAGAGGAAGGGTTAGAGATGTTACAGCTCGAGATAATGGATCATTTATGGACTCTCTCAAATCAGCTACTCGGATTCTTGTTGGGTCAGCTCTTGCACCAGCACCAGTTGCAGAGAGAACTTTCAAACCCCTCCTAACACATGCAGCCAAAAGGGCCACCTATCGAATGTAAAACACAAATTTAGAAATAGATAAAACATAAAATTGCAAGGGGTATATTGAATCCACTGAATCCTCTCAAAGACATTAGTAAACTAGCCATTTAATCACGCAAGCATCGTTAAAAATAAATTATTTAATTCAAACAAAGTCCATTAAGAGAGGATACCTTCGTATCAATGTTATCAATGCAGTCCAGAACAAAATCCGGATTGCCTGAAAGAATTTCTTCTTCGGATGATGAATCATATAGAAGAACTTTCGCGTCTATATGGCACTCGGGAAAGATCAAAGAGAAATGCTTCTTGAGGCATATGGCTTTTGGAATACCAACATCTGCTCGCGTCGCAACAGCGTGTCTATTTAATGATGAAAGTGACACCTTCTCATGTGATTAAAAATAAGTACATATATAATCTGACAAACGTGATTGCTTGCATATGCTTGGAAGTAAAACGAGTGGATGAAATTTGATTATATAACCACATGAGGTAAGACAATAGATAGTATGTAGGTCCGAGAATATCGAACCAAGTGATGGTCAAGAAAGATCAGCAATATGGAACAACCTGAAACAAGGCCAAATAAAACGATGGATGCAGATAAACAAATATATGCCGAGAATACCTGGTCAAAGTCAACGAGGAGGAGCTTCCCTACTCCAGATCTCAAGAGCATGGATGCAGCATGACTTCCTACCCCTCCAAGCCCGATGACCACAACATAAGATCCAGTTACTTTACGTTGAGATTCAAGGCCAAAAAACTGGATATTCCTAAAACGAATGATAAACATAAAACATACTGAGAAAAAAAAAATTAAAGCTAGCCCGTAAAATAACATCATGCTGAGAAGAAAATGCTTAACTGCAATGCAGATAGATTCAGATACGATGTGGTCTAATAACAAAGAAAACAAATTTGCTATTCCTTTTTCGGGGCTTGCCCCATTCCATTCGCAAGCAACAAACTTAGACATTCTAAAGACCAGATCAAAGCTCATGTCTTTTTGCATCGGCTAAAAGTTTTTGAGTAACTGGCAAAATTATGGAACAAGTGTACTTAAAAAAAGGCTTCTGAAGCAAACATTTCCAGCCGAAAACATTGAAACTAAAATTACCTGGTTAGATGTTCAGAAACTATTTCATCTGCCAAAATATCCTGACCAGCTACTCGAAACCCGGAGGCACTACCAGTTGTTTCAGACTCGCAATTCCCTGCCAATGACAGCAACTTCATTTTACCCGGTTTATCGAGCGGACACGTAAACTTAGTACGTGATGGTCCAAAAGAGAGATGCTTGCTTAACCACAGTATCAGAGAACTTACCATTGGTATCTCCCAGAGTTTTGTCATACTGTTTCACAGTATTCCTGCAAAACCACGGAATCGGATCTCACGACACAATCCCGAAAATGTTAACTCTAATTTCATTCTTCGGTCCTACGATTGAGAACCAAAAATTTATTTAACATATCCTAGGAACGAAAAGAGCCGTCATTTTTGTCGTATCAAATCGGATCGAGACGAAAGTATATGCTTTCTCACGGAGATTCGGATATGCCTCCACATTTGAACATTCAGTACCCCAAATTTCAGAGTTGGACGAGTGATTTATGATTTATGCACAAAAGCCGATGCAAAACTAAAAAATTTAATCTCTCCAGGAATGTTTAGTTTCCGATTACAGAAAACCCACAAAAAACAGGAATCTCAACACTGTTTTCCAGTTCTTAGTTCAGTAAAGCTGAAAGCAAGAATTTCAAATCGAAGACATATCAAAGCTGCACATTTGGGCACTAATGAAAATTCGATACCTAAAGCCCTGAAACATGGCTACTGTTCGTAAATTTATGAGGAGAGCGACTTGCCGGGAGAGAAGTTTTAGCAGAACAGCGGTAGAGACGGAGCCGAGAAGAGCTCCAGCTCCGATGAGCGAAAGATACTTGAATTTCTCCTCCATGAGCGTTAAACTTTCACACCGTTTTCTCTCGCTTTCTCGGTTGCCAAACAACACCAAGAATAGGGTTTTAGGCTAAACCCGACGTCCGGTTCGGTCCATTTTGATTTTATAGATTTTTATTTTTAAACGACTTATTAGTTATTACATAATAATATGGTACCAAAAAATTTATGTTCATCACATTAAGCACAATAATTGTAATAAAAAAATTATTTATAATTTTTTCCTTGCATGTGTATACAATTAAAACTCATATATCTGTTTTATTTATAGATTAAAAATAAAAATTATAATTAAATAGATTAAAATGATATTTTAATCATATGTATAACATTGTTTTGAAGGCCAAAAAAACAGTTTTCAGTGTTGAAAATTTCTGCGTCAAAAATTAGTTTTTTGCAAATTTCCAACATCTTGAGTATAATGATAATTAATTACAAATAGTTTTATGCCATGTTGTTGGAATTAAACTAGTAATAACAATTATAAATAAAATTAAGCATTGCATTCGGATAATGTATTTGTAAATCTAAATGCTTCAAGGGTTTGCAAACACGATGGTTTTATTGAAATTGATATGAAGTGAGATTTCGCCACGTGTTTAGATTTAGGTATGAATCTCACATTGATTAAGCTTAAAATATTTTATGACAATGATCTTTTCCATAAATTACACCCAACTGATGAAGACATGTTAATATGACAGATAATTTTATATGCAGATTAAATAAAATTTTAAATATATATATATATATATATATGTGTGTGTGTGTGTGTGTAACTATTTTAAAATATCTGTTACAAATTGGTTTTAAAATAAAATCTAAATGTAATACAATACATAATAATCTTTTAGAAAATTTCTTAACCTCTTATTTATATATTGAATTTTTTTTTATTTGTGTTTGTGAAGTAATAATTATATATGATTATATGATGTAGGTAACAAATTTTATAATATTGCAGATAAATAAAAGTTCGATCAAATAACTAGTGGGGTCCTATAACCCCTAAAATAACTTGATTAGTATCATTTTTAATCTATTTGTATAATTAAAATTAAATAGGTAATTTTAACGTTGAAAGCAACAAATAATGCACATTTTAAGTTTTAAGACTCAATCGCCATTTCGATCACTGTAATTGACGTTGGACCAAATTATTTCAATAAACATGCTCAGAAAATTTAATATGCAATGGAATCAAACAAATTGTTATTTTGTCTAGGAACACAGCACTACCCTAAAACAACCATTGCTCTGCAACTATTCCCACACACAAAAAATATGCACCATTTTATATCCAAAACTAAGTATTCCATTTAATCAGCCCATTTTCTCATTTCAATCGTGTGTATATATATATATATATATATATATAATGAGAGAATTTTTAAACTAGTTTTATATTTATTTATTTTAAAGCATATTTTTCAAAATTTCTACAAATGTTTTTGTTTGGTAATTTTACCTATTCAACGTCCTTTTTTTTTAACCATTTCACCATAAGATACTGGAAATTATAAAAATAAAAATAAAAAAATGGATTGGCAAGGAAAAACAGAATATCCAAAAAGTTATTCTCGATATTATTACAAATAATTTTATTTAAATCTGGCTATAAATTTTAATTTTAAACGTTTTATTTTCTAGTGTCTCACTATGCATTGATAATTTGATAGTTGTCGCACAGCCACCGCCACAGCTTTTACGAATCACAAGGGGCCAAGATTCGTTGACAAAAACTAACCCCAACATCTAAAAAACAAAAAATATAATTGGTAAACAAAAATCCTGAATTTGTGCTATATATATAAACACGAGCTATATATATATATATATACACACACACTCGAGTCCAAACATTGAGAATTTATTCGCACGTGTACCTTATGTTTTGCATAAGTCCGTTGTGTGGGATATGGATATTGAGAATTTACTTAAATTTTGGATGATATTTTTAGAAAGATTAAGAGGTTTTTATGATTATTATTTTCAAATATATAAAATATTTAATTAGGAGTAGAACTTTTGAAACCTAGGAAGACATGGTATATTAGGAACCCTTTTTTTGGAACAAACTCATATAAATAAATAAAAAATCATTACTCGTCCTCGTAGGGTTGTGACAATTAATTTAAGAGCATTATTCAAATCGTTGAAGTTGTCATAGCTGTGCCACATAACTAGGAATGAGTTGACAATTTTCGTAAATGCGTATATAATCATTTATTTAAATAAATGGTGCGTATATAGATACAAACGCATAACACGCACATAGTTCTGGAAAATAATATTGTGTAATTAAGATTGTCTATTTGGTTTTATTAATATGACTAATGGTCGTGCTTTGGCGTGGCATAAACCCATCTGTCAAGATCATGTAACTTGGAGTCAATTTCATGACATGTATAAGTCATCTTTAATTGAATTTAATATATTTATATGTTTATCCATCATAAGCAATGGCCTTATCAAGTTTATATATTTCAAAATTGCCATGAAAAACATATCTAGAAGTTTTAAAAAATATAAAGTTTTACCGAAAAAAATATATGAAGTCCGAGAGAAAATCAATATTTTCACTTTGATAATCTTGTAATACCATATTTTTGTTTCTAAAATATGTGCTTTTGTTATTTAAATATTGATGTTCTACTGGACTTACCTCGTTAAAAAAAAAATCTAATAGTTGAACTAATATGATATATAGTATAAAGTTTTCTTTAATGAAATTTGTATTGGGATAAAACTAAAAAACTGAATGAAAGATGATGAAAAATAATTACATAAAAGATAATCAAAATCCGGATTAACAATCTTGAATTTGTATTTTGGAAATTATATGCTTATACATATCTTGGTCCCACCATAGAATTAAAAGTACCTAATTATTATGTTTTTCTTAGATATGCTAAATAATGTTTAGCTTATATTAGAAGAAAGTTAAAATTAATCATGATCGCTGTCGATTTTGGAGGAAAAAAATAAATTCCCGTAGCATAATTATTACTCATACTTTATATTTTCATATAGTATTGATTCGAAAACATTACATGAACATCGAATTCGATTCTTGGTATTATAAAGAATCGCGCAAATCAACAACTTGAATCTTTGTAAAATCTATAGAATTCGATTCTTGGTTATCAACTTATCATAAATAATCTTCCGA